TTTCCTGGAGATGGCTGAACACCTGCCTGCCGATGGGAATTAGTGCATGAATTCCTCGTTTTGCTTTGCTTGTGTGCATGGCTTTTGCTTTACCTGTTAAACTGTCTTTATCTCAACCCATGAGTTTTCTCATTTTTACTCTTCCAATTCTCTCCCCCATCCCACTGGGGGAGAGTGAGCGAGCGAGTGGCTGTGTGGTGCTTAGATGCCGGCTGGGATTAAACCATGACACCTGCTCATTGGAATGGACTGTCCTTCACCATGGAGGAGATAATCCCTGAAAATCACCCCGCCCTCTTGGACCCCTGTTCTCTCCAGGATGGTGTCCTTTGGGATTCTTCCAAGCAGATCCCCGAACAGACCAAAGTGCTGTCTTGAAGTCCAGAATTGTGATCTTGCTTTTTGCTTTTTCCCCTTCATCTCAGGATCCTGCACGCCACCATCTCATGGACACTGCTGCCCCCAACTTTCACATCCCTGACCAGTCTTTCCTTGCCTGTAAATATGAGGTCCAGCAGAGCATGTCCCCTCATTGGCTTCTCGATCGTCTATCAGGAAGTTGTTATTAACGCACTCCAGAAACCTCATGGATTGCTTGTGCCCTGCTGTGTTGTCCTTCCAGCAGATATGGGGGTGGTTGGCTAAAGACCCCCACGAGGACCTGGGCCAGTGACCATGAGACTTCTTCCAGTTGTCTGAAGACAGCCTTGTCTAATTCTTCATGAGCTAACAGTCTATAGCAGACACCCACAACAACATCATACATGTTGGTGTGCCCTCTAACGCTGATCTGCAAGCTCTCAGCTGACTCTCATCTGTCCCAAGGCAGAGCGCCATCCATTCCCACTGCTTTCTCACAAAAAAGAGCAACTGTCCCTCCTAACCATCCCAGTCTGTCCTTCGTATCCAGCCACTGCAGCACTCCAGCAGTGTCAGCCATCCCACCATATCTGTGCAGAAAAGGAGCTCATCTGCCATGCTCCAGCCTCAGCAAGAGGCCCCAAGCACTACTCACAGCCCCAAAGCTGCAGAGCTGCACCCTCCCTCCGGAGCTTGCTCTGGGTTGTGGCCTCTGCTGAGTCAGGGGTAATTTCTCCCCTGGGTGCTGGGGACGATCTCCAGCAGCTCCCTGCCGCCGTTGCTGAGCACAAAAGCACTGTCAGCCCAGACCCTGGCCCCCTTCTGCACAAATTGCTGCGTCTGCTGGCTGCACGCCACGCTTGATGGGTTATACAGGCTCCCCCACAGCACTGGCTCGTAGGATGTCTGACCCTCCCTGGTCAGGATTCAGCTGGAACAAAAGCTCAAAGCCCCTTTCTCACAAGCAGCTCTTCAGTATTCATACTATCTACCATAGATACCACAAACCAAGCGAAAATTTTACCACCTGCTTCTCTCTACAGGTGAGAAAAACAAGCAGTCAGGGTCAGAGATGCCTTAACATTTACATTGGTTTTAGCCATTCAGTGATTTTTACCACCACCATCCCAATTATCAGAGAGGTGATGATACCCATCAAGGACAAATTAATCATTCCACAATAATCTATTACAGCATTAGCAAAAGATAGCTGCCCCAGACATAGAAAGAACTATATATCTGATACCAGGTCCACATTCACTAAGTACGTTAAGAGAAACCTAATCCCTTCCCTTGGACATAAACAATACCTAAAGCAGCACGTGCCCCTCATGTACAAGGAGGAAAAGGAAGGCCACAATATTTTAAAGACTGCCTTCATCAATCTCATGACAAGAACGCCATCAGATATCATACTGTACTACAGGCTAAGTTGTAGGAAAGGACACCAAAGCATGCCTACACAAAGCACCGCAGGATATCTGATGTTCACACCCACCTAGACAAGCAGTCCCTCTAGTCAGTTAAAACTTCACAATGTGGATTTTCTAATAAACAAACATGTAAGAGGTCACTCTGACTTTCTCTTGCTCACCTGCAGGTAATTTTCCACCAGGTCCCATTTCAGTTTGATGAGAGAGTCAATTATCTGGTGAATCAAAAACCCCAGCATCCCAACTGCTGTTCCAATTAGCCCCATCAGCAGCCATCGATCCCACTCTTTTCTAGAAATAGGAAAACAGTTACCTCTCAGCCTATAGCACAGGACTATTTTCCATGCTTCCTCTCAAAAAAATGCAAATTCCATTTTTAGAGCATTTTGATTATTAACCGTGACTGCATGAGCAAGAGACTGTTTTTGCCAATATATCTTTAAAAAGTGTACGCTCAACAAAACTCTACATTCAGGTGGAAGCCATTTCCATTTGGGTAAGGAACATAGTTGAATTTTTTGGGTTTGGTTTTGTGTTTTTAATATATAAGTAGCAGTACAATCTGCTTTCACATGCTGATTGATTGATGCCATCTCAAAATTTAATTATGTGACTCAGTAATTAAGCATTCAGTAGAGCACTCAGAACTCATTTCAAAGTAATTCCTGTTTTTTTCTACTGCAACTAATGCACTGAGCACCTATAATATAAATGTGCAAACCTTTACCTCTAGTTTCTGTCTTTCCTAAACTTATACTTCTAATAGTAATTGTGCGCCAATAACAATTTCTGATTTATTTCTAGTATCATCTAGGACTAGAGCACCCCTACGGAGATTCAAACACCGCGTTTCGTGCAGATTACACTAAGAGGCAGTGAATTTCAAGAAAAGTCTCAGTAAGAGAACATTCCCCAAACCTCTGCAAAGTCTCTTCCTTTTAAGTTGTATACATTGAGTAGTTAATACATTTTTTTTTGCATATTCAATAATTTGTCAAGAGCGAAGGCATAAGCACTTTCAAAAAATGCTTTTAATCAAAGTTGCTTGCCACTTGCCCCCCTTCTACATTCTATTAAAGTGTTTTCCTATGTACAGAAAACAATAAACAATGTTTTCTTAATTCCTTCTGCTATCAGGCATCTCCCTGGATTGTCCAAATTACCCATAGCTTAGAGGCAACTTAACAGTATTTAAGGTAAGTTTACCTGTATGTTTTCTCTTGTAGCCATTTCTTATAAACTTTACTGTGTGAAGGCAAATAATCCAAACTCTCATGGGCTATCAGGTGTTCTCTCTCCTCCTCCTTGCAGTGATAATATGCTAAACTTCTTCTGCTGACGCTGCATTTCTTCCTAAAATCCTGAGAATGAATCAAATCAGGCCCATGATCTTCTGCCATTAACATTTCCTCTTCACCCTTTGCCACGTGTGTCCTATGGAAAAAATGTGATGACATTACAGCGGCCTCCAAGAATCTTTGGGATGCCAACAAGAATGATGTGAGCCCAAGATCAGTCTCCTTGAGACTGAGAGAGGAATGGAAAACCACGCGAGGATGGAGTACCAGTGGTGCAGAGATTGGCTGGTTTCTGTTTGGCCTTGGTTTGCTGTGGCTATGCACAGACCCAGCACAGTCGAAGCAATGAAAACTTGCCTGAGCTGGAGCTCTCTGGTGAAGAAGTCACTCCAAGAACAGACCAACCACTGTAGCAAGAGTATCACACCGGCTCCTTGCTGACTGTTCAGAGGACAGGGATGTTTAAGCCATAGGGGCAGGGCTTTGTTTTAAAGAGGTGATCACTTTCTCTGCTTTGGGCTGTCCAAAGATCTTGATCCACTAATCCGATCACACAATTTAACTAAATAAAACAAAATCTAGGTTGCAGTGACATTCAGTTAAACCCTGAATTCTCAGTATTATATAGGCACCCTAAAAAAGCCTATTGTCTAACACAATTTCCTTTGAATTTACATGTCAAATTTATTTTTAGATGGATAAAAAACATTTGCTAGACTACCAAACTCACTACAGCTTGGATACTTTACCCAAGGTAGTTTGCAAGTTGGCAGTTCAATCAAAGCAGAAAGAGACTTGACGCATGTCAAATATTTACTGTAAAGAAAAATCAGTAACATGCTGTGTGTTTGCCACCTCCAAGGTGTGTTTTTGGTTACTGAAGACAGAGTAGAGAAAGATTGCTGCTGCTCTCCACTTACTGGCATGTGGACTAATTTGGAAAGGTCTCATCTCAAATAATGAGGAAACATAAATAGTTCCTGGTTGTCAGTTAGTGAGTACTAAATGGCAAGAGAGAAAAAAAGATCTTTACACAAGCCACATGCAAATTGTCTGAAACCAAGCCTTTTGAACCTACAGTTTTTGCAATGCTGAAAGTTTCCTTGTGGCCCACTACTCACACTTCCCAAATGTAACGAAACACATCATCAAGGCAATACTGCCGAGGGCAGGGGGGCACCTCCGTATAGCAATGGCCCAAGTCCAATTTCTTATACCATGACTGTGTTTTTTTGCCAGCTCAATCAGGCATTTCGTTCTAGAGATTTCAAAAGTACTATGCAAATTCCAGACCTGGCAACTCTCAGTCTGAGAAAAAAAGAGAAAGAGTTAAAGAAGAGAAGAGAAGTGGTCTAGGTGGAAACCAAAGACTTTAGAAAATAATTGTTGCTGGAAACTGTGTGAATGGCTACAAGCAACAGTAAATGCATTAGAAAAGTTAACGTTCCTTTCCTTACAGATGTAGGGAAATAAATTTATCTGTGCCACCAATACATCCATAGAGAAGTTATCTGACAACAAGCACACGTTGTGTGATCAATTAAATCACTCCAGTCAAAGGTGAATTGAGGAGGAATAGCCAGGTTCTCACTCTGATTTTGACCTGTTCTTATCTAAAAAGTGGTAAGTGCTTTATTAAACACAGTAGCTCAGACCTTAGTTTTGGGTTTAAGCACAAAAATTGTCTTGAGATTAGAGTGCTAATTTGTGCTTGTACAAAAGTTGGGTTTAACTAGTCCTATTCCAGGTTTAAAACAGAGCAAAGGAAAGCAGAGCCCAGACAAGAAAAGCAGGCACCTGAGCAGAGCTCCTGGCTGGACCCCACCACTGCTTCATTCAGGGATGCCCAGTCTGGCTACCACGAGGTCTCCATTTAGCCCATTTCTTAATTTCTGGAACATGGGAATTTGTATGATGTCTTTTTCTAGTTGTGTTAGATCAAACTGGTATATGTGAATAGATCCGGGTATTACAGAGATTGCAGCATAAACAGAAATACAAAATCCACTGAACAATACAGAAAGGGGGAAAAAAAAACCCCTGAAACTAAAGCTACCTTTCTAGGGGAAAGGGATGAGGCTAAGTCACGCTGCTCACAGACAACACAGATATACCTCATTCCATGTCACGATGATTTGTTATGTAAACAGGACGGCTGTTTTTCCTCAAACAGGAATACCATTACCATCCATAAGAGCATACCTGAGCATTTGCCTTTGCTGCCCCTACTTGCCAGAAGACCGAAGCTGACAACTCCTCTTCCATCAGACATGAATCCAACCCAGTCTCTGCGGCAGCGGCTCAGCTGTACTGCAAATTCTCACAGGCACCCGCTCATGCATTCAAATTTTAAAAAACAAAATGGACTAAGAATGGGGTTACAGACTTTGACCCCTAATTATTTTTTTCCCCCCCACGGACTCCCCTATAGTTTACTTAAACCCAGCAGTTCGCTCACTCATCTGAAATACATTTCATGAACCTCTGAGAAGCAGTGCACAAATGGCCAGAGTCCAAAACCTAGAAGGCAAAAAGCAGAGAGATCTTTGAGATTGCAGGGGGAGCACAGCTACATCCCAGAGATGCAGGAGTTGAGACAACTCTACGGAGGACAGACAAGGCTTTACAAAATGTGTGTCCACACAGGGCATTTGTTCATTATTTTACAATGAAACCTGAAGAAATTTTCCCTCCTGAACAGAAAAATAGTTATTTTCAGAATACTTAGATGAAGGCGGCAAATGCAGATTGGGGTTGTAAAAGCATTCAGTACCAGAAATTCCTCTGTTAGAAATACATACTGCTTAATTGCCCTGTCAGAATTTGACCCAAAACCTATGCATTTTGGCTGTCATTGTTAAATATGCTCCCACGCACCTCCCAATGCCAAACATGAGTTTTCACCTTTCTTCTGCAAAGTATTTTGGAGGGTGCATTATCAGTCCTGTAAAGTCTGCGTAAGGATTGTCCTGCTTTCTGCAATAAGTTTTCATGTCCAAGGATCTCTCTGCTTATCCGAGCTTCCATAACTCAAATTTTGCCATGGATAAAGGCAACCAGAGGCAATGATGAAAGAATACCTTCTCAATACTAGAAGATAAAATTCCTCCTCCCCCCGCCCCGAGGAGAGCAGAGAATCCAGGCTGTGACCAGTTCCCAGGTTTTCCACTCTTCTGACTTCGATACCTGCTTCTGCAAGGATTGCTACCTTACTTGTAAGTGTTCTTACCTTGGAGGGATCACAGCATAATTGGGAACTGCTGCTTTGGAGACAAGGAGGGAAAGGAGTCTATATTCTGTGTTCATCACCACAGAAAGCTAGTAGCTACTTTGAGTAAATGCTTTAAGGATTCAAATTATAAACTGAATCTTACTTAGTTGGGGGAGAGTTATGAACTATCAATGTGGGGAAAAAGCGTGCTTTCAAGACGCCGTTGGGGAGCCACAGAGCTCCTTGTTCCACTCCCAAGCAGCTTCCATGCAGACCACAGACTCCTCGCACAAGGGCGAGGGCAAAGGAGGGTGAGCAGACACCAGCACAGCGCTCTCCTCCTCGGTAAGCATAAGCAGGCTGAGCTAGACTGCCTCTAGTTAGGACCTGGAAAGTAGCTCCCTTGAAATTAGAAAGATCAGCAAAGGATCAGACCACTGCTGCTTGGTGATCTGGATTACAGGTGAGGTGTGGTGAACAGAAGAAATGCAGCTACCACATAATCATCACTGGCTGGCCATTCCAACACAGTTTTCAGCTACCCCATCTAACTCCTCTCCTAAATAACTGGGGAGAAGAAGCAACACAACTTTATTTGCCTAAATGTTTTGCAAGTGTGAGAGTATATGCATGCATGCATGCGTTTTTTATCCTTTAGAAGACCAGGGTGGAACAATCCCAACCAATACTGCAAAAATACAAAATAAGTATTGCTAAATTACAAGCCACAGCAAATAAGAACTACCCACCAAACAGCATTAGCGATACAGCATGAATTTAATACCAAAACATTTCGCCACTTGCTTTTAAGTAGTACAGACATAAATCAGATTCCAGCTATTACACATAAAAGCACCTACAACAGAACTCTCATTCTTGCTATGGTTGTACTAAAGCACTCCTACCTGGGCACAAATTACCGCTCACTTGTATATCTAGACAGCTATATAATGTAATTTCAGTTGTGTAGTAGCAGGCATGTAAAAACCAAGCAAGTACTTAGTTGGCACCCCAGTTTTATGTAGACAGAGAACAGCATATTTTTTGAATGGTGTCAGGAGTTGTATATACTTAAATGATATGAATTCCTTCCCTCTCCACCGCCCCCTTGTCTTCAGCTACAGGCTCGTCAGTGCAGCGTATGTGATTTGTGCATCTGTCAAGTAAAGCAGTGCACCATTTTTGTTGGCTTCTGTTTTAATACTCATTATCATACAGATATTACAGAATCATAAAATCACAAAAATATGGTAAAGCATTAGAGATTGAGAGTTAACGTTGTTACACTGAATGAATAACACAACAATTCCAAACAAATCTTAAGGTAAAAAGTGAAGAGTATTTGAAATGCCAGAAGAAATAGTTACTACTCTAAGAAACATGAGCAGTTCAGAATCTATTTTTTTTTAACAGATTGCATGCAGGGCAGTAGAATGAAGAGCTTCCGAAGCAGTACTCTATTCGCAGCATCCCACCCTGAATATCAAAACCATTACACTACTCATTGAGGTGACACTCGAAGATTTTAAATAATGAGTGTTTAATGCACAATCTGAATGACAGCTCAAGGAAGCAAGTATTTATCATAGTGATTGAATAGCGATATAAAAACATTGCTAACTAGAAACATCATGGCTATAAATTTTCATTTCACATTATTTCAGTACTTCAAAGTTACAGCATTTAAGGAATGAAAGTATAGCACTAACTTAGCATGAGAATTTTGCTATAAATGCAATGACTCGTACATTTGATGCTGACTGTAAGGACATAGATGTTTGAAACATTTTCTGATAAGGCTGTAACAAATCTAATATATTGTTACATGTTAGTAGTGCCTTATGAGATTGTAAATTTAATCTGCAAATCTTCATACAGAAAAACCGTACACACGACA